AGGGATTTTCCACCTTGTTTCAGATGAGGTGCACCAACCCCCGAGGCACAGGTGCCTGCAATCTGAGATACACCTTCCAAGCTATCAGTGAAGTGTGACGCTTTCCTATATGCAAGTGCATTTAAGGGAGGATCAAGCAATTAACAGGATGGATGATTATAGCTTCTGTCAGAATAACTAGCCTTTACACAACTTGCAAGCATTAGTGTTGTGTAGCAGTTTCTGCATGGCTGAAAACTGGTTCAGGCTGTGGTCGAGAAAAAAAAAAACTTAAACTAAACAGTATTTAGTTCAAACACAGCAAACTGTAGCAATAGGATGTGTTGCACTGAATTAGCTAATAAACGACAGCTTCTTAAAAAGACAGATAAAGCCAGCAGTAAAAACAACTCGAGAAGGGGATGCACTGTTGTGATTGTGTGGTCATTAAATTTGAACTTCACTGAGCTGCTAATGGACTATGGCAACTGCACTACTTTTACATTTACAGGGTGCGTTTAGCTGCTGAAATTCAGCCATACCAGTGCAGTATATCAGCTTTGAGGTGAGTGTGGACAGCTGCTGATGTGGTTGTTAAACTGACATCCTTTTCAGGAAACAGAGGTGCAACTTCACATCAATAATCTTTGTTGATGAGAATCTGTATTTAGGTATCACAACATTTTCATTCCTTGAATTTTCTAATCTTAAACAAATGTCATCACTGAACTGTGCCATGTGAGCTCCCCTTATCTCATTATGCTCCCTAAATAAATAAAAATATTTGCTTTAGGCAGACTGCAAGTGCAAATTGAATGTTCTCAAGTATGTCTGGGCCTGAGTGCATGGATGGAGGGGGTTAATTTAGTGATGACAAAAGTTATGGTTGACTGATTAGAAAATGTCGTTGGCCTAATTTAGAGCTAATCACATGTGACTGGAAATGACCATTTGATGACAACAATTATCTGACTGTGCTCACCCCGTCCATTCCCTGTTAGATTCCAGCCAGGTTTCTACACACACACACACAACCACCCTGCAAACACCCAAAGTAAATTCCCAGTAACATTTCTCACTATTATGTCATCACTGCATCCTCATTCTCTTTCTTATATGCTCTTTTTTACCATCCTTGTGTTCTAAATGAAGAGCCAAAAATGTGAAATGGTTTCAAATGGCTTCAGACCATATATCTCTATTGAGATATTGTTGTCCTGATGCATTTTTTATACTTGTAATAACATTTCCATAGGGAGAAATAATTCTTTCCAAAGACTTTGGGCAGTTTCAGCATAAGTGTTTACTCATAGCATGTATGTGTGCAAATGCAAATACAGTATGTGTTGAATGGAAGTATAAAACATGGCTGTATGTTAACAGCCCAGCAGTTTCAGTTGCAATTAGGTGAGGCCAGAGGAGCCAGGGAGACATCATTTGAAATAAGTAAAACAAAAAGCAGCTACAGAGGTTCACAGGTCTTTATGAGATTAGTTATGATGATAGATGGAAAGGTGCTGGTGGCAGTCTATTCGCCCTAGGATGTATAACTATATGAGACAGTGTCATCACTAACTAATAATGTAATATGTCATAGTAATAGTGCAACATGAGTCATCAGGTTATCATGGCTACATAAACAGTTAAAAGGTTTTTATATTTTTTATTAAATTATAATCACCTGTTATATAAAAGTGATGTAAAATTTAATAAATGTATGAGTGCACTATATTTTTCAAGCCATTTACAGGGTGCTTTACTTACACTGTCTGGTTGTCCCATGTCCTAAGTCCAGTTATAGTGGGCTACAGTAAATCTAAAAGAGCCATCTGGCATTAACAACAGTTAACTCCTACCATTTATCTACTGATCTCCATCTAACCAGGTAGTCAAGCTGAAACCAAAGACTGATTATTCAGTCAGAGCAATACAAGATGTGGAAGCCAGTGACAGTCAGCCAGTGTAACACTGTAGCAGGATGGAGTCACATAAGAGTAATGGTGTGGAATAACTTGGTGAAATGACAACTGCTTGTGATTATAGAGCACAAGGAAACAAAGAAAATATGCCTGTGAATTTGTGTAAACATTAGGAGAAAGTGATGGATTTTTAGTTGATTGAATTGACTGTAGGAACGACTTAATGCCACACTGTGTACGACTCACAGCAAAACCCACTGACAGTACCAAAAAAGGAAACTGTGGCAATGCATGTATAGATGCCATTTTACTGTCTACACAGTGAGCAGTAGCAGAACTTCTGCATTTCCTGACATGTGCTTTCTTTTATACAACAGGAAATTAGAATCTCTGTAGAAACACCTACGTACAACACTGTCACCATGTCCTAAACCAGGCTTTATTAGAATAACATAAAATTGAGGGTGATGGGTGCTGCAGCACCTACAGTACTGTATATTCCACAAAGTGTGTCAAACTGATATTCTGCCAGTTACACTGAAACACTATCAGGCCACATCTATGTATGCTAGCGTTTTTGTGTTTTCTATGTTTAAACATCACTTGCTCAAGCAGGTGTTTCCCCATCACTTGTCAAAAGGTAAAATACCCACTTTGACATTGCTTATTGTTGTGGCCAGAACTGCAGCATGCTTGAAAGTCCCAATGCACAGAGAACACTGCAGATGCGTTTTTCTTTCTTATGCGATTTACCCTTTAACATTTCATAACCAGTGGTTCACCCTCTTGTAGGAAATGCAATAAATGTGCCTGAAAGAATTCATTTCAGGTGTGTTGTCTTCAGAAACAATCCTGTGTGTGTGTGTGTATCATTGTTGAGAGCTATTGTGCAGGTGTTGTAATGCGTGCTAGAGGACAGTGATGGAAATAGAAAACCTTTTTGAAGAACACCTTTAATTTTGCTGCCGGAAAGATGTGGTTGCCCTGAGGAGATACAACACACTTGAAGGCAATTACTGATCAAATGATCCTGCTGTTGAAAAAGACCATGAAAATAGAAATAAATGGAGAGAGACAGGAAGACAGGGGGAGACAGAAGTACTAATTTGGTGAGAACAGTGAATGTACTGGGATCTGGACTCCAAAATTGAATTATTATTACTGATCTCACCATGTATCGATGGTGCCAGATAGTGCAGGGGCTGAAGCACATGTGTCCATGTACATTCAAAATCCACAAACACAACAACTGGCAACTCCATCTTAGTACTGACTGAGTTGAGTGTCTAGAGCTCTAATGCATTATGCATCAGCATGCTCGTGACCAGGGTGACATAAATTTCACATACATTACAGATGTAATCCATTCTAATGAGCTTAGATGTTATCTAGCTGGGCATGAAATACAGAAGGGAGTAACACCACTCATGGAGAGACAAATATCATCATGGTGCACTCTGAGCTTTGGTTGGTATAGTTTTAATGATGCAAAATTGAAACAGCTGATTGTAAAACATACTGCGGTGCTGGCTGGTGATTATTTACCTTGATGGAGCAAGAACTTCAGCTTACACCCTAGCAATGCTGTTATCTAGCTTGGTGCGCAAATCATTCACTCCAACTATAGAAGACTGTTTTTCATAAACCCAATAAAAATTCTGTCTTGATTTGTCATATTCTGCTTTTCTGCTTTATGCCCAAAGGCCTACTCCTTCGGTGCATGTAAACGTTTAGCCTACCATGCCATCTGGCTACTTATTGCTTCTTTTTGGACACAGTGCTGCCATCTGACTGGAAAGGCAAGAAGTCCAGCAACGCTTGCAGTGTGCAGAACAGCTTTAGTGTTAATGTGTTTCAGCTTGTAGCCTAGTCTGTTAAAAGTGCAGATATAGAAAGATATTAAAAACAGCCAAACTGACCCTGACAAAGGCTACAAGCCAACAAGTGTTGATCTTAACATTAAAACAGCTCTGCGCACTGCATGTGTTGCGGGACTTTTTGCCTTTCCAATTTGTTTGTCCTTCATCTGTGCACCTTGGCAGTGGGTGACGTTGCACCAGAAATTTCTGCTTTGCCATCTGACTGGGCTAATGGAACTGGCAATAGCTAATATCAGACCTAATTTAATAGTTTTAAGAGTGGCTAAAAGCCTGTGCTTCTCAAACAGTACACTAGAGTTCCTGTGAAATGTGTCAGAAATACAAACAGAGGAAGCCACCTTTGGGTGGGCTCTTTACTGGCAACTCAGCCAATCGCTCATAAATCCCATTGTTTTATTGGTGTCACAGTGCTGTCCTCTGCACTGTTTTAACATGCATTTACTTATATTAGTTGGAGGTGGGATCAAAAAAAGCATGTGTTGAATTAGTGCCCTGTAGGATGTGACAAGGAAATTTCCAACTGAAAAGAGAATGTAAAATAGATCCCTTTTGGCAGTATAATAAAATCCTTCAAAATTTAAAAACAAATGTATTAGTTATGTTTTAAAAATATATATTCATGTTTTCATTAACGCATGAAAATAATCTAATTATACAGTAATTATCACCAATGTAAAATTCTTACTCTTGATTACTTTACATTTTACTGTGACTTGAAGTGTATGAAGTAATTCCATCAGGCTCCTTCAATAATGTTTACATAATACATTTATGAAGATAACACTGTACCAAATAGAGCCATCCTTCCTTCCTTCCTTCCTTCCTTCTGTGCATTGTGGTCCTTGAAAGTATCTCAACATAAAAGTAAAGTAAACATAAATGCCTGATTTTCTTAGTAGCTCTTATTTCATTTATGGTTCACAAGACTTTGTCTTTAATGATGGAGCTTATATGATTTATATATCGTTTCATCCCATGCTCACCATAAATAATGTAAAATATATGTACTATATGTGCTGCGTTAAACAAACGTGTGACTTTCTGAACTTTGTGCCCCCTGTTATACATGTGGCATTTTCTGCCACTAAACTGACTGACAGCTATTGGACAACATAAAGGAAACAATAGGTTTCCCTATACTGTAATAAAAACAAATAATAAATGAAACTGGTCAACAAATAGACCCAGTGTGTGCATGTGTAGGTAGTTTACAGGCACTGACCTGTGTCCTGGTCACAAATCTGCTCACAGGGCTCAGTGGTCCTCTGGCCACAGTAGTCTTGGACCCACTGTGTGGATGAATTGGTCTGATAGTAGAGGGTTAACTTGGCTGGATTTAACCAATTAGAAATATCCAGGAAGCTGCCCATGCTCACCACAAAACTACTTCCTGAAAAACAAAACATAAGATAAATGTATTTAGTAAGAATACTACAACAACAAAAAGACAGTCTTGAGTGTTTTGTGTTTACCCAAGCCTTTTTCTTTTCTACTGCAAAATCAATTAGAAAGTAGCTAATTCTTTTGTTTTCACTGTAATTTTAAGTCTCGTCCTGACCAGACTGAATTTAAATGAGAAAATTAAGATTTATAAAGCGCGTATTGATGGGATTTCTTTGGTAATTGCAGTAGAGGGGCTAAAGGGGTTTAACGAGTCAATCAGTAAACACACGTTGACACTGACTTACCTTGCTTTCTCATTGCTCCCAGACCAATTGTTAAACTCTGATCACTGAACAAGATTATCCCTAATTGATGCCAATGACTTCTAGCTCCAAAGGGACCAGCGAGGAGATTGGACCTTAGGTCTCTGGTGAACACAAAGGTTCTTATACATCTAAATTGTATGCATGCCAGGTCACAGAAGTTAAATTTGTGGAAAGAGTCAGAAATCTGAACTTAAAATGTATTTCTAAAGGCTAGGGCACCAAGACAGCAATTACGAGATTACAAAAGAATCACACATTTATTCAGTTTTATGACATGAAATCCTGCAATAGTGGACTCCAGGCTGGTTTTCTTAAAGAGAGGATTAATACAGATGGAAAAGCTTGGACGGTAGCCAGCAATCAAATCTGAGTCACAGGGAAATTTACAGAGCTAATACCCAGCGATAAAATGCACAACTCAGAGAAGAAATGTCCCACAAAGACCGCTTTGCTTTTACACTTTAATAAAGCAATATCCCAAGACTCATCTACGGGTTTTTTTTGCTTTTTTCTTTAACATTTTACAGTAAGTGTTCCAAATTCCTAATACAACAGACTATCATCTGCCTCCTCCTACACATGTAAAGTCAACAGCTGCTTCTTTTCACTTGACAGGACAATGGCGCACTGAGACAGTCTGACCCACACAAAGCCTTACAAAAATATGCTCATTTGTTAAAAGTTTCATTTTCCAACTTCCTGTGAAATGTGAATGGAGTATAGACCAGTGCTGTACATACTGTATTGTTTATAGACATTATCCTGCTATACTTAAAGTGTCGATTGGTGGATTGGATTAGTGTGTCTGCCTCAGATGGTGAAGTCATGGTCTACAAAAACGGGTCTGTGTAAGTTGACATTAGGTTTCTAGTAAGATGAGCAACATATGCTCTTGTTTAATAGCACCTGAAATTAAACACATAATAAAAACACTATTAGAGGTGGTGTTTCCTTGTTACCAAATTCAAGGGTCATGAATTTAAAATACACTAAAATGCAGGAGTTTATAAATTCATTATTTACATGAATTTAATTAATGATTCAATTAGAGAGCCACACTTGCTTAGAAACAAGGACTGTTGTTGCTACCGAAACTGAAAACATATTCAGCACCTGCCAAAATACCAAAAGGTTGAAATGCACACAGAATTCTCCAGACAGGATCCCTAAAAGCATCTGCCAGGTCAGGTGGACCAAAGGTGAGCACAACAAAGCTATTTCTTGCAGCTCTGCAATTTAGTGAACAGAACTGGCAGCAGCCCTCATTTGCTGAGAGAGTGGAGAAATCTAATGGGTTCAGCTCACATAGGGAGGAGGCAATTGTTAGATTATGGGTTGGTTTCTCTGAGACCTGTAAAGAAACCCCTCCTGAGCAATAAGAGCATTGCTGATTGCTGGCAATTTTGTTGTGCACATTGTGAAGTGAGTGTAAAAAACGAGGGAAAAGGCCATTTTGTTAGATTAATCCCCTTTCAACTGTTTTGGGAGCCTAAGCGCCGCACATCTGTGTCATGGCTATGGTAGTAATTAAAACTGTGCACATCCAGCAGTGCAACAACTGCCTCCCCCCAAAAAACACTATTGTCACTGTGTTACTGACAATTTATTTTAGGTGTTGATCTTCACCATCACCATTTCTTTTGTTTTTTTTTTCTGCTGGTTTGTGATTAGACACAACTAAAGATTACGCCTTGTTATATCTTAATAAAATGTGCATGTGTCCATTAGCTAAGTGTAATTACCACCTTTAAGCTGATATTTTAATTAAGTTATTTATAACCTCATTGTGATTGCCATTTCTTTCTGATAACAAAAAGCTTCCCCCTCCGAGACTTGATTTTTAAAGACACGTCTGCAATAAAAATTCATAGATTCAGTTCACTTTGGAGTGTTAAGAATATCTTAAAAAGAAAAAAAAAAAAGTACATGACAAGCATCTTCTAAGAGATGCATTTCATCCCACCCATATTTACTTTAGCAGTGAGCTTTTCAGGATGTTCCCTAAACAGTCCCTCTGTTCTTCTGCTATCTAGGTTTTCCTGCTGCTTAGCTCCTGTGTTTTTCCATTTTTGTTGCCATCTTCTGCCATGCCTCACCTGTCTAGTCACCCTTGTTGAGTGTACTGCTCATACTCATGGCTGACCTTGTCTCTTGTCTCCTCAGCTGCATCCTAACACTCATTATTTCTCCAGTATCCAGAGAGTGATGTAAAGACGGCAGCTCATGTCTTACGTGTCAGATGTGATGCTTGCTGCCGTAGTGTTAGACTCCTTTTTTCTGCCTATCTGTTCCTGGCCAAGCTTATACTTAAACGTGCCTTGACACCTTGGGTTTGTTTGTTTTTTTCCTGTTGGATTTTGTTTGTTTGTTTTCTCGGCCTGCCAGACTACTGGGCTAAGCCTCTTTTTATCATATCTGCTCTGCCTCAGGTGTCTGCTTTTCTGAGTCCCATTCCTGTGCACACATGGTACAGAGTTTGCAGAGGAACACCACAATTTAAAATCTGAAGTCTTGATTATAACTCCATCGGGATGCACTGTTTATGTTTGCCCCACGAGTCACTGTAAAAAATAGATAAATCAAAAATACAGTATAGAACACTAAACATACAGTACCGTTCATTTTCTTATTCTAAGAGCCTTACCTGTAATGGGACTAAAATTTAAAGCTTGTTATGAAATAAATAATTATCTGTTTATCATAAATATCTTTGGAAAATGTCACTGAAATCCAAACATGAGGTTTTTTTTTTTTTATATTAATTAATATGAGCATCAGGTCAAACGACAAACTTTTAACATAATTTTTGTGTGTAAGTGGAATGTTTCCTCTTATTTGTAGCGGCTGGGGAAAGGTCACGAGATCACTAAAATCACTATCTCTCTACAGGGACTACACATATCCATATTAAATTCCACAGCACGCTAACTAGCAGCTGTAGAGATATCTTTGACTGGACCACAGTGTGCTACAGACAGGCAAACAAACTGACCCTTATAGAGACAAAACTCAGTGTTATTATGATTTAGATGACAAAACTATACTGTGCATTTAAATATACTGTGTGCAGAGTAGAAGAACTAATATCAATGTATAAACATAAAATTTTATTCAGTACAAAAACTCAAACTACTCAAAGATTCTTTGATTTGTACTGACTTTCATTATATTTAGCATGTGTTCAACTGTAGAGTCAGTGTTTTGTGTAGTGTTCCATTTTGACCGTGTATTCATGTGCACAAAAATTGCAGAATAAAAATGAGGCCCCATCAGCAAGAGCACCTGATCAACTGATATATGAAAACACTGCCTTCAGAAATATAGCAATCATTAGTTAAATTGCTTCAGCTCCTCACTCCCTCATACGTCATTTAATTCCTTGCCCATTTCCCAGTTTGGCCTCTGTCTCCTCAGTGTGAGATTTATACTGTGGTGTCTTGCCAGTACACGGTTCCAATTTACAATTATCCCATAGTCAACAAGGAATTTAAAACAGACTCAGTGGGTTTAGACTCAGTGGGTTTTGTTTATTCTACATCTTTGATATCATTTTCACCTTGGAGCATATAGCTTATTTGCAGGCCATACATACAGCTTGTTAAATAGCATGAATAAAATAGAAATGAATTTTGGAAAAGTATTAGTTGCACTAAACGATTGTGTCATGTCACCTGAAAGAGTGCAAATCACAGAACAGGTTAGTATTCCAGTCCAGGGTAGGCAGTCTCATGTAATAAGTCTGCAGACTGAAAGCTTGCAGTGCAAAATGTAAAAAAAAGAAAAAAACAATCATGTTCTGAGCGCACAGCTTTTCATCAGTCTGATGGCTCAAAATGTCACTCAGTCGTTTGCAGTGATAATAAATCTTTTCTTTTTTCCCCCCCTTTGGCAGCTTTCAGTGTGTGGGCTTTATTGTCCTGATTTTTTGGATCCAGCACATTATTTACTTTTTTTGTTGGATGGATGTGTGACTTTTGTACTTCATCAGTCATGCAGAGGGGGCACTGGCTCTGAAAAGCATTGGAATTGAACACCACAAATCACGGTTGAAGGGGTGGAGATTTTACTGCGAGCCCATTTGAAAGTAGAAATGGGAGAAGCATGCCGAGCTGTCCCTGGTTCATTAGCTGTTCCTCCAAACAATAAAACCTATAAAAATTACATAATATTTCTCTCCACTCAACAACAGCGTGGAGCAACTCGACAGTTATCGCCTCAGTTTGCTGCTTGATAGACACCTGACTCCGAATATGCCTGGGAATAAATGAAATAAAAGGTGTACAATGATGGATCGCAGCTACTATAACAACACACTCCACAGATCTATCTCCTTTATTAACTAACATCATGATCAACATTGCCTAAGGCCTGGGCAGGTACAGTACAGTATATCTTATTACAATATTCATTTTCTACCGCTTAGTCCCTGAACGGGGTCACGGGGGGGGGGTACACCCTGGACAGATCGCCAATCCATCGCAGGGCTACTTATTACAATATCTATGTCACTAAATTGATAAGTGATTTCATTATCTCCCTCACCAAGTTTCATTCATTCAGAATTTATTAGGTTTCATGTCAGTGACCAGACTTTTCCCTGTTCTACAGAGGATCTCTGTCAACTGGACACACAATCTTGTGAGATGTGAGCACTCCTGGAGTTTTCACAGTATTTCCAATAAAATACAAGACTGCAAAAACAAACATGTGCAATAAAAACAATAAATACAAGGCTAAGTGAGTAAAGGTGAGTGTTTTTAGATATTTTTAGAGGAATATTCTAGCACGATATATAATAAATGTACTGCACTTACCATCTGCAACAAAATGCTCAGGCACATGAAGGGTAACCTTGACAGTGAGGGGGCAGGGATCCTGCGTAGCATAGACAATGGCAATGACACATGTGCTGATGGTAATCAACGTCAGGGTGACCTTATTCAGAGGACTGTGTGAGTGGCCTAGAATAAAGACAAAACGACAAAACAAAGTAAAAAAAATGTAAAGGTGAGCAGTTTAAAAGAAGAAATTTTGTTTTGAGTGGGGTGTTAGACAGATAACTGCTTTTAAACAGCCTTGAGAGGAAATGACAGTGTCCTACTTTTGTATAGAAGCGCATAACACAGACACATAACACAAACCTAAGACTAAATCATCCACTTTAGCGCTATGCTTTGTTGAGAGTACAGCCTCTAAACCACCCAAAATCCTTGAAAATGCATTTAATTGGACTCTTGATTTATGAATCTAACCCAGGTTCAAGTTTGGCCCGAGTAAGTAAAATATGATTTGGAATACCAGAGTTTCTTCTGACCAGCCCACAACTATTTGCCGATGTGATATATGAGCTTATTGCCACTGACAGGGTTATAGATTGGTTGTATTGGTTGCCCTTTGCCTTTGTCAGGACTCCCATTTCCAAGCCAGAATACAGGGAATGAAATTAGCCACTTAACCTATGTCTACTGATATTTATCATGGGAGAGAAATCCGCCATGTTGAAAGGACACTCAGTGGGATGCGAGAGAAATAAGATAGTGATAGTCCTGGTTTGGAAACACTGCTAGATTTTAACACATCTCACTGAACTGCTTGAAAATATACTCCTGTATGTTTTTCAATCAAACCCAGGTAAATATCACAAAATGTCTTAGAATCTGCAGAATCTGTGCAAGTAGTTTCTAGGAAGAGAGCTGCCCATGTGCACAGCCTGCACTATGCATGTTTGTTGCAAAAGCCAGTAGTAACTAAACAGTGGACTAGCGGAACTTAGATGGTGTCAAATGGTGTCAAATTCTTGTGCTGGGGTAGTGATGTATAGTGAACTTTTTTTTTTTTTTTTGCTGGTTAGAGTTATGTTATACTATATCAGTGCTAACCTCAGAAAAACAGATCAACACAGGATTTCCAACCAAAGTCTGATTTTACCAACCACGATGCAATGTGCAAATGGTCAAATAGACTGAAGTGAAAGAACACACCAACAAAGAAACATTAGTACTGAGTTTAATCAGTGGCCTCCCATTTTCCCAATGAAATCTTGTGAGATGCTTGGAGCTAGTAAGAGGCAGCTCGGTGTCAAACCCTGGGAGACAAATTTAGGATGATGAATTCCCTCACACTGAATTACATGTCTACCACAGTCACAATACCGTGAAGGTACAAAAACCACAGTTATCTACAGCAAACATGACAAAGCAGCTAAACCTTCTGGGGTGTGGGTGGTGCCGCTGGGCTCATGAAGCGGTCCCTCAATTACTATAAAAGCCTACTGAGCAGACAAAAGCATGTACACTCACGATGGCAAACACTCGCTTTATGGCCACAAACCAAATGCCTAGTCTATGCACTCATGCACACATTGAGACACACTCACTAACAGCAGACACACAGACAAAAACATAAGTGAATGTAACACGCAACCACAAATATACAAGTTGACTAAATGCATAAGGTAAAAAGCTCAAGCTTAGCATAACATGTCTTAATTTCTTTCTTTTTTGTGTTCATCTCAACCATTTTACACAGGCTGTAACTGTAACACGAGCTTCACATCTTTCCTAAGTGTATATTCACAAAAATTCAAAGGGGACTGTTAAAGAAAGCCATGGCAGCTTAAACAAGAACCATTTCATCTTTCTATACACTCTCTAACACATTTTTTATTTGTGAGCAATCATCTACTTTCTCTGATTAATTGTGATTATTCACATAATAATTTGTCTTACAAGCGTGCGAAAAGATACACACACTGTTATCCATTTGTAGCCCAGGGAATTTAATTCAGAATTTATTTATCAAAGCTTAAAAAGCCAATTACAGCCCTAGTCAAAAGGTCAATTATTTAAATTATGAGATGGATGTGAATAACAAACATTTTCAGTCCTACACTGAGACCTTATCAAAACGCCATCCTGCAGTTTGTTTTGTAATCTGCTTCTTTAGTTTTGTGTCTCTCTGGCTAATACATTACAGTTTAACATAAAATTCAGTATTATTATATTGTACGTTTTGACAAAATAATCTTTTCTAAAGGCTGCTGTAGGAAATCAAAAATATTTCCGCAACTACAAAAATCAATGCAATGGCCTCAATTTCATTCATCTTTACTGAGTTAATGTCGTAATACTTTTTTGGGTTTGCCATAACACTGATCGAAAATATTGGAATTTAAATAGTCTAGCAAAATTATAAACTGAGCATTGAGTACAAGAGACCAGGAGTGCAGGAGATTTTCTTCCTTTAAAATTCTGCTTGTCAGGGAACAAAATTCATACAGTCCCTCACACCTGAGAGTAAGCCTGTGTGAAGGGTATAATTCATGGCAAAAAATGGTGTAATTTTGTACTGCGTGGCCTAAAAGAACACACACAGGCAAATTCTGTCTGTACAGTATCATATTTCTACAGAGCACTCGCAGACACATAAATGCAGAATCCACATACTGTACTGTCTTTACTATCATACGTATATCACAACCTGGGAACGGAAATTAAAATCATGCTTCCTATCAAACTTACTTGACTCAGCTTTGTTCATCACCGAGACTCCATTTACATCAGCTCATATATCTGTGTTGAGTGTCATTGAGCTGTGCCATGGAACAGCACTTTAATCCCCACTAGGAATGTGAATGACTCCTTCCTACTTTCAGCAATGCTGACAAATCCAGAAATGTGCAGCCTCATTTCACTCAGATAGGCCATATTTCCATTATTTCCCCTCATATTCAACTAGGGTAAAGTTGGATATCAATATGCTACTGTTTTATTATTATTAGTAGTAGTAGTAGTAGCAGCAGCATGCAATGACTCAGAGGGTTCCTTCCTGAGCAAGTTAATGTATTAAATATGTAACACATGAAGAAGTCCACCTGCATTCCTTCTCACCTTTGCTGCGTCTTCGTCCTCTGTGCTGCTCTGTGTAAAACTTCATTTGGCTATCATCTTCAGGCTCTGACCCTGATTCACCTTGAGGACCAAACACGCCTCCAGTTGCTGGCAATGAGATGATAAGAGGAAAAGATAGAAAGAAATTGAAGGAGAATTAATCAATACATAATATTGGTATTTTAGGATTATCCTGAAAAAAAGGTGGCATTTGTTAATGAGCAATTTTTTTTCTCCAGGAAATCACCACGTAACACAAAACACAAGTCAAGAAAATGTCTTATTAAATGTGTAAGAAATCTCCTAGACTACATGTATGTTATTCAACACAAGCATATGATCAGGGACAGGTAACCACAAGGTGCCATGCTATCAAACCCCACCACCAGGTGACAGCTTCCTAACACAGTGTTGCCTCCCTCTGTAGTCATGGATCAATCGGAGCCTTTGATCCGCCAGACCTGTTATACACACCTCACCTTCCAGACAGTCTCTCAGTAGGAAAGAAGTTTTACTATCCCCAATTTAAAAAGCCACCTGGGAAGCGCAAAGTCCATCAAAAGCAACACAGTGACAAGGATTCACACCGAACAGGGCTGCAGGCCGACATGTGAGAGATAAGGCAGACGAACTGTAGAAGTGCCGGGTGACTGGCGCCTGAACCTGCTTTCTCTCACCAGTGCGCTCAACTCCCACTTTCCAGATATGGGAATATTCAGTGTCCTGCTGGACTAAAAGGACTTTCATTCAAGTTACAGACAAACCACACTGTATATCTGAGCAGGACTCACAAATGTGGTATGATTTATAAACATAGAACCTTTAAAAGTAATCTTTGTCATGTCAAAGAAACCAGAAAAATTGATGTTGATGATAATTCCAGGAGACTTGTCTAAACATAGGAAAAGGCCTGAGAAAAACCCTCAGAGTCAAATCAGAGCTAGTGTTATGGTTTGGTCCCCCTCACCAGGAGGGTGAGGGAGAACTGGGGTTGGACTCAAGATGGCTGACCCAGGTGCTAGTACAAAAAAGGTGGTTTAATGGAATAAAAACAACATGACAACATAACAGGGTCCATAATACATACAACAAGGGAAGGGCAGTGATGACTAAGGAGACCAGGACGGTAAACACACAAACTAACGGCAGGAACTAGGATAGCAGAGGATGAGAACGGACAGATGCTGTGAATTACATTGTGTACGTTGGTACACAATGTAATTCACAGCACAGGGACGGTCAGCGTGGAAGACAAAGCACGTATTTCTGTGTTGCTAACCGCATAATTAGCGTGATAAGGTCAAGCCAAAACGCACCGAGACTGTCAGCATAGCATCTTACACACGTCTTTAAAAAAAAAAAAAATGCGGGTCAAACACAACCTTTGCATACCTTACTTTAAATATAGTACGTTACATGTCGCAATATCCGGCGGCGACGGGGCGTCTGCGGCTGTGTCCGAAAACGCATACTGTGCCAGTAAGTACTGAAAGAGATGAAAGACCTACTGGATAGTGAAGTGTCCATCGTATGCACACTGCAAAATCCAACCGGAAGCAGTAGGTCATCCGGGTACTTTTCGCCTACTGTTTTTGGAATACTACGAATCCGGACATACTACTCGCCTCGCCTACTGCTTTTCGCCTACTATACAGTATGGTAGTAGGCGGTTTCGGACGCAGCCAGAGGTATAAATAAGGAAGCCAACAAATCACCGGAATACGCCTCAGGTGTGCGCACCGACCCACGAGTCACTAATTACCCGACAGCTGAGGCGTTGATCCCGCAAAAAGGGAGCAGGAGAGGAAAAAAAGAAAGAGAGGCAGGTCGCGCCGAGCGGACCTGACAGCTAGCCCGGAGGAACAGAAGAACTACAAAAGGCATATGCTAGAACAAAACTACATCAACCACTTCATCTGTAGGTCTCCAATACCAGGAATGACACCAGGGAGGATCCAGGGCTAAAGAATAAAAAGGAGGTTAGATAGAAAGTGATTTTAAAATATTAAAAGGAGGGAAATATGTGTAATAGTAGTTTTATTATGTCAAGCAATGGACAGATGGCTTTAGAAATAAATGTGATTCATTCTTTGTTGTTACAGTTAAGAGGCTTAAGAGATTCATAATGAGGATGACTACAGTGTGTAAGACTTGATAAGTTATTGTTTAATCAAAAGAAATTAAGTTTTAATGAGTTGAGTTAAAGCAAATTTATGATTATTTCGTAACTGAAATGCCTCTGATTAAACTTTGAATTAAGGTTGGAGAAGTGACAGTGCTTGGGACAATGAAATGAAGAAGGTAACACCTGTACACTTCCTCCAAACCCAGAGATCCAGTTTGGAATCTTCATCGGGTCACAGAGTACGGTTGGCAGTTCATCCATTGTTGTTGAGTCTCAATTTGCTAATCATAACGGGTCACACATCAGAATGTGTGTGTTTGTGTTCAAGTCAGGGTGAGATCAAGAGCGAGTCTGTGAGAATTAAGAGGCTTTGTTTGTTCCACCTTGCCAGTGCAACATCAAAACACACAACCCTGCTCAATGCACAAGGACTGCCAAAAAAATGACAACTGTGGGTGTGAAGCCACTGAAGGATAAATAACTCATCTAAAATAATAAAAATCAAAAACAAAATATATGTGTGGACAGCATAACTGCATTTGAAACCTGATATAAAAGCTCTGCCACTTATTGAACTTATGTTAAATGAATGTATTCATATAAATCAAGACACATTTTCATTTCAATTGTTATAACAAAGTGATTTGACCTGTCACACCCTAAAGAATATAAACACTATAGTACTAACATCTACCTCATTTTCTCATGGCTGTACATACAGTAAGTTGTCTGTATAATCCCCAGGATCTCTGTGACTGCACTGCCTAATCTCCCAAGTGGAAAAGGGATAAAGGACAGAAAGAAAGAAAATCAATGCTTTTCTCCTGGCTATAAGGGAGCATCTGAGAAAAAATGCTTCACCTGTTGATAACAAATAAAAAATAAGGAAGCATGGCTGGTGTGTTTTGGCAATACCCTGAGTCATCTGATACATGGGAACAGTTGATAATGGCTCATAAGCATTTGCTCTTGTGCAAGAGGCAAAAGGTTGAACCCCACTGGGATGATTATAGGTCGTGGCTACACTTCTTAAAGCTGCCAGTTAAAAAGGCCTTGGTAATTGCATCTTACATGGTGTCTGATTATAAAAATGCAATGCAACTGAGAGGACGTGTGCTTAGAGGGCAAGATATTTTTGACTGCAATTCCTTTTTTTGCAAAAGCCAAAACTGAGCCAAACAGGGGCTCATTTGTATAGCCCTTCATAACAAAAGCTAACATAAAATACTTAAAAAAAACAAAAAAAACAATCTAATTCAGTCAAAAAATTTACACATAGGAGGATCAAACACTGGGAAATAAAATAAAATAATTTTTTTTTTCTAAAAATAGATGAAGAGGACACATTCAGAGCATTCATGCAATTGATCAGTCTAGGAATAAAGCACTGCACAGTATATAGAGTAGCTTGGAGCAGAGCTCAAGAAAATGCTTAAAAACCTAAGATGACAATATGAAATGCCAGATCAAGACAGCATTTAATATGAACAATAAACATCAGGAAAACTAATATAGAAGTCAAATATTGTTTTGGTTTTACTCGAGCCAAGCTGCTGTGTTTAGCAAATACTGGAGAATATGAAGGCAGTGAAGAGTTTTTAAGGTCAAAAGTGAATAGAAACCACAAACTTAGAAATGTCTACAAGGCAAATATATTAATAACAATGACGTTTTTAGCTTTTAGCTAAGGACACTAGTGACACTAGGGAAATACAGGATGCAAATGTACAAAGAGGACACTGTCAGCCGTTTTTAAAAATTCGCCATAAAGTCTGTTCTTTTCTTCTAAAATTCATGCCTTATTAAAAGTAGTGATAGAGCCACATATTTCCTCTTCATTGGTCACTGGACAGTCATAATTCCTGGGGAAATGCTGAGCAGTGTTAGGTGAAGTACCCTCTTTTACTCACTTCATAAACATTATGTCATAACTCATGAAAATTTGCCTGCACCATAAAGATTTTAGACTCGATTAAATGTTCTATTAAGTCTGTAAAAAAAATGCATGCAGAAAGCTGTAGTCATTTTTTTGGTCTGGTGCACTCGAACACGTTGAGAGTTGAGTTGGATTTGTAGTGTGACAGTCTGGCAGTATTTGGAGAGGGAAGCCAAGGCAATGTGGTGTAAAATTGGTTATGAATTTATGCATTGTGTTAGAACATGCCCAGAGAGGAGGCGGATGAAAACAAAGTCAGACTGAGGAAGAGAAAGCGCAGGAGAAGAAAATTGTAAAAAATATATTAAAAAGGACCACAAAACAGCTTCACAGGTCAACCTGAAAATGTTGTTTACATTAACAGTTGTTATTTTTTACATCTCATAAAGAACTTTATTGAAACACGATAACACACAAACTTTGTCTATGATATGTTCCAATGGTGTGGTGCACACCCAGAGTACCTGGTGAAGCAATTCAAATCTTAACATAATAAGATTTAAAAAAAACTCCATATTTCATATGGAAGAATTAATAAATTCTTAATCTGCCTATTGTAAGTGTATTTTCAATTTACTTATTTCCTTCTTCACTTTTAAATGCACCGTTCAAAAAAATGCAACATTTTATTCACAAGGTCTCAAATAAATAATGGGTGATTGTATTTGCAGTTCTTAAGTTTAGGTTCGACCTAAAAACTCCAGCTGTGTACATCTCAAATTTGGATGCAGCTCAGCATGAAAATGCCATCAACGATCAGGGTGATTCATGTTGTTGAAGTGGAAAGTCGGCTAAGAAGAGTAGACAGCGCTGCTTGTCAGACTGGATCTTTTCCACAGGACAATCAAAGAATCCAAGGAGAGGCTTAGACATTTTCATTTTACTGTGGACTGTGAGCTTTGGGACAAAAAGTGGGGTAATTCCAGTTAAAATGCACTATTAGAAATCATGTAATTGTGTGCCCACATTTCGCTGGACATTAGACATTTTCATGTTTTTGTTTTGTGCTAGTTGTAGTGTTAGCGTTTGATGAAATGAGGACTGGCA